AAGAGTGAATCCCAGGACTTTCTTAAAGAGTCCCTCTACCAAGCTTTTGAAATGATTCTAAAGAGGCAGTCTTGGGAAAAGTTAAATGGAAAGGGAAGAATAACATTTTGAAGAATTTAGGTCAAGCCCCGTAAGGAATGTGCAACACTTACTGTTAGAAAATGCATAGGTGTTTTATTTCACTTCCTTTCTCATCCTAACCAGTTGCCAGGAAACCCTCAAATCCTACCAGTTTTTTTTAAAAAAGATTTATTTATTATTTATTTATTTATAATAAATGCCGTATCGTGTCTTAGTTGCGGCACGCGGGATCTTCATTGAGGCGTGCGAGATCTTCGTTGCAGCACACGGGCTTCTCTCTGGTTGTGGCATGCAGTTTTCTCTCCTCTAGTTGTGGCTTGCACGCTCCAGGGTGGGTGGGCTCTGTAGCCGTGGCACATGGGTTCCAGAGTGCATGGGCTCTGTATTTTTGCCGCTCGCAGACTCTGTAGTTGAGGTGTGCGGGCTCAGTAGTTGTGGCATGTGGCCTTAGGTGCCCCACGGCATGTAGGATCTTAGTTCCCTGACCAGGGATCAAACCCGGGTCCCCTGCATTGGAAGGTGGATTCTTTACCACTGGACCACCAGGGAAGTCCCTCTACCAGTTTTTTTCTTTTGTTTGAATTACACAGGGATTTGGAATTGTTGACTTCTTTTTGGATTGTAGTATCCACACAGTTATATACATAAAAGTGTCAGTTTCAAAACAGTGAAGTCTTTTGATGTAAGAACATGGCTATTTTGTATTCTTCTCTTGACTCTTATTTGACAAAATGTATCAGTAAGAATCTACTGGGCTTTCACATTTTTAAAAAGCATATTTACAACCTAATAGAGACGAGTAGCTCTTACTTTTTCTGGTGGTTTTTTGAAGATGTTTTAATTTGTAATAGATTGTGTTTTCAAACACAGTTATGTTACTTGTGAGAGCATTTAGCCCTTGGACCACCAATGAAGCATTCTGCTGAAAGATTAAAAAAAAAAAAAAAAAAGATGCTGCAGTGCCAGTTTACTCGATTAAAATAAACCCAGACTTTCCTATTTAGAAGAAAACTATTTCCTTTGCCTCTCTTTCCAGAAACTCTACAAACTTTCTTTGGAAGAGTCTAAAAAGAAAGGGTATGATCTCAGAACTGATGCCATTCCTATCAAAGCTGCCAAAGCCTCGAGAGATATTGCAAGCGATGTAAGTCTGAAGGAAAGCGGTCACCTGACTGGGGGTTTCTAGTCTACCAAAATAATAAGGGCTGAGTTTTAGAAACCCTGAGTGAATAAAATATGAGAAAGAAAGCATGCCTGCTAACAATAGTCCCATTCTGTTCTGTGATGCTTCTTAGCCTTGCTCTTGTGTTTTCTCTGGTATTCTGAAAAAACAGAATGCCAGCTACATTATGACCACCTTTGTACTCCATCACCAAGGCTATGGCCAGTAGAAATCCAAAGCCCTTCGCTAAGTTTTCTTAAGACTTGTGTTGTTCTTGCCTCCTGCCTCTTAGGCTTTGTCTTCCCAACAGGATGTCCCAGGAAGTGGTGTGCTGGGGGTCCTGATCTTTTGTGCTCATGATAGCTGATTATTAAATAATCATGAATTTTGCAAACCAGTTGTTCAACTATTGGTAGCTTGATATCAACCATAATGGGAGTACTTACACCACAGAAATTGGCAAACACTACAAATCAGGGCTTTTTTCCCCCAGAGAGCTGGTGTGCCAACACACCATTGCCATAACACATCACCTTTATGAAACTCAGTTCTTTCGTTTGGTTGTTTCCACAAGAAATCCACTCACAGTGAACATTTAATGATTTGGGGGTAATGAGAGGAGCACATTCAGAGCACTCGTTCCTTAGCCATCCCCCAGGTCTACTTCCTCTTTCCTCTTCCATCTCTGCTTTTCATTTTTCCTACCTACCCATCCCTATCCCACTCCTACATTGTCCTGAGGACTCCAAACTTCTCCCTCTATTGTGCTGGAGTCATTTGACTCTCCCAGCTCCTAACCCCTAAGTTGTACACCCGAACCCACAAGAGATAGGCAGAATAAGAAGTTTTCCATGCATCAGGATCTCCCCATGAAAGAGGGAACTTGGTGATAAATAGTAAAATTTCTTCCCCATTATACCAGAGTAGAGAGTCTTAAAAGAAAAAAAGCTCCACAAATATAAAGCTGCCCTAAAATTATACTGTGTATCTCATTACTAAGCCTCTTCTCATCAGTGAAAGACTGACTGGATGATTTTTCAGGGCAACATTAAACTGCTTAGAACATTCTGCTTTTTCTTCTCTCATTTGCTGTACACTTATTACCTACTCAATGTTCTTTAACAACAGGGTATGTGTGAAAATCTGGGTGGTGTATCATCACAAGATCCATGTTCTAAGCTTTAATGACTTTAGCAAGTCACTCACCCCTCTGGCCTCAGCTTACTCTTCTCTAAAATGGGGGCAGTAACAATAACCTTGCTGTCTACCTCACAAGGTATGGTTGTGATGATCAACTTACACAAATAAATGTGAAAAAAAGTGTTTTGTGAACTGTAGAATTCTATAAAAGTATCCCTTTTTATGAAATACAGAATATTGACACTAGAATGATTTCTGGTCAAGGGAATTGCTCTGAATAAATATTCAAATTTTTCTTCACAGTATAAATACAAACACAATTATGAAAAGGAGAGGGGGAAGATGGTTGGTTTCCGCAGTCTTGAGGATGATCCCAAATTAGTCCATTCCATGCAAGTGGCCAAGATGCAATCTGATCGGGAGTACAAGAAAAACTATGAGAAAACCAAGACCAGCTACCACACCCCTGCCGACATGCTCAGTGTCACGGCCGCCAAGGATGCCCAAGCCAACATCACCAACACCAACTACAAGCACCTGATTCACAAGTACATCCTCCTTCCAGACTCCATGAACATCCAGCTGTCCAAGAATATGAATCACATACAGAGTGATGTAAGGCTCTCTTCTTTCTGAGTGATGGTTGCGTTCTTAGCATGAGAAGGGAGATTACAGGCTCCTGTGCCACAGTTTTGTATCTAAATTGATAAGGTAAAGTAGAATGTGCTTCTTCTCTTTATAGAATGAATATAAGCAGGACTACAATGAATGGTACAAAGGGCTTGGCTGGAGTCCAGCTGGTTCCCTAGAAGTGGAGAAGGCCAAGAAAGCAACTGAAAATGCCAGTGATCAGAGATACCGCCAGCACCCTAGCAACTTCCAGTTTAAGAAGCTGAATGACTCCATGGACATGGTTCTTGCCAAGCAGAATGCGCATACCATGAACAAGGTAGACAGAACAGCTATCCTTCCTTGTAGCTCCCAGCCAGACAGGGCTAGCAGTCTCTGGTTCTTGTTTGGGAAATTTAATTTGGGCCCACCACTTCTATGCAGTGGCAAACAGTACCAGAGCACTCCCCTACACCATTTTCTTCTGCTCCCTACCTCTTATTTTTATTTTACCTGCCCTTCTAATTAAGTTAGAAATTATTTGTTCTTTTAAATTATTTTTTTAAGTCTGAGTTTATTTTTGGTGTCTTTTCTGAATCATATACTACTATAGTTACTAAATTAATCTAATCTAATTCAAATTGAGTGCATTCAAATATTGTTATATTTTTTCTTTCTTGTTTGTCCTAAAAAGTTATTAAATTTTAAATGTATGCTTTTTAACTTTCTAGTACCTATACACCGTTGATTGGAACAAAGATAAAACCAAGATTCATGTGATGCCAGATACACCAGATATTTTACAAGCCAAGCAAAATCAAATACACTACAGTCAGGTAAAGCTACATAAAAATTTTGCTTGAAATTAATTGAACGTTTTAAATGATGGCATGGTATATCATTGATGTAAATGCTGAAGCAGTGGAAATGAATGACTCAAACTGGTTAGCGTAGGGATGTTGCAGTTTATGGTGGTTTAAAGCAAGCGCTTTGGCTGTGATTATATATCCCATGGAGTAGGCATTGTGCCTGTTTTGTTTATTTCAGTACTCATTGTGCGTGGTGCAGTATAGAAAACTGATAAATAGCTGTTGGAAGAAAAAATTGCACCAAACAGACCTGGTATGAGCTTTGGCTTTGCCATTTATGAATTGTGTAATATTGGGTCTAAACCTTAATTTCCTCATCCCTAAAACTGGGACCATAAAAGTGCCTATGACATTGAATTGCTGTGAGGACCAAATGAGAAATTCCATGAAGGGCTCTCATCACAGTGCCTGGCACATAGTAAGCACTGGATGGCCTTCAGCTATTTTTATTATTGTCCAGTTTTAACATATGTGCATCCATTCAATAAATTTGATTCAAAAAGATTAACTTTGGGCTTCCCTGGTGGCGCAGTGGTTGAGAGTCCACCTGCCTATGCAGGGGACAGGGGTTCGTGCCCGGTCCGGGAGGATTCTTCAGGCCATGGAGCGGCTGGGCCTGTGAGCCATGGCCGCTGGGGCCTGCGCATCCGGAGCCTGTGCTCCACGGCGGGAGAGGCCACAGCAGTGAGATGCCTGCGTACCGCAAAAAAAAAAAAAAAAAAAAAAAAAAAAAAAATTAACTTATTTATTGCACTTTACAAAAGGCATTTCATTATCTATTACTTTTATCATTTAGATAATTAAAATATGTTACCTGACCCTTTTTTTTTAAATCAATTTAACATCTGTAATCAAAATAGTGAGCCTAGACTGTATTTAACTGCAAAGGGAATCTACCTAATATACTTGATATGACCATATTGTGTCTGAACAGAAAAGGACATGATCAGCTGCACTACCAAGGGGGTGGGGAGTGAGTCTCAGAGGCAAAAAAAAAAAAAAGAAGCCAGATCATGTGATGCTAAGTCATTGCTCTATGAAACAGCTTGCTTTGTTTTTATCCATATCTTTGGAGATAAGATAGATGATGTTAAAATATAATGTCTACTCTTTAGGTACACTTTTGTTCAATAATCTGTTTGGGTTTTAATATACACTGAATAATGCTAAATAATTTCTTTAATTTTCAGAAACTCTATAAACTTGGATGGGAAGAAGCTTTGAAGAAAGGCTATGATCTCCCAGTTGATGCAATTTCTGTACAATTGGCCAAAGCTTCAAGAGATATTGCTAGTGATGTAAGTATTGTTTGACTTCTACGAGGATATACTGTTATCTGAATCCAGTACCTTAATGCTGGTAATGATTTTCACAGATAGGCCCTACCTTTCAAAATGTAATGCCATCCCCTTCATCTTCTCCTACCCTCTTCACTTACCCCAAATTCACTCTTGTTTCTCACTGATCGAATATCAAAAAAGGGGCTGCCTGGACAGAGACTGAGCCAGAGGACCTACAAGGTGCACTACACTAAGACATGATGTTTCTAGACATTACAAAAGAACCTGAGATTTCCGTTTTCCCCTGCTTGCCTGCAAATAATTTTCCTGGCTTCTATTTGTCTATTTTAGACAAATTCAAAGTGCCAGATAATAAATAACCTCAACAACCTAATGTTAATAGATTTTTCTTTGCACATATTTAAAATTAGCTTCCAATTCTTTCTATTTAGTCCATCCTTGCATTTACATAATTATAATACATTGGCTCAGGGTATAGAAAATACAGAAAGTGGCAGGAATTTAGGTTTAAGATCCAGAGGACTTAACTTTCCCCTGGATATCTGGTCGAAAGTTCATAAAACAAGGATATTCACTCTCCAAGCCAACTTCTTCTTTTTTTTTTTTTGGCCGCTCACAGTTTGGTGGATCTTAGTTCCCCGACCAGGCATTGAACCCCAGGCCATGGCAGTGACAGCGCCGAGTCCTAACCACTGGACAGCCGGGGAATTCCCAAGGCAACTTCTATTTATGATTGGAAAGGGTAGTAAATTTGATAAATAAACTGGATATAGTTCCTATTGATCAATTAAATTTTTATAAGTATTCAACCTAGATATTCTGCAAACACTAAAATATATAATTTTGTTAACCCCAAAAATTAAGCACCAAAAATTCAGAGAACTTTGGTTATAGAGAATAAATTACCAGAATTTCATAGGGAAGCACAACCTCTTAATCAAAATCTTTGAAACAAAGCAAAACAAGGATTTGGTTTGGAGAGAAAGCATGTCTAAAGGCAGAATCTGACATAAAGAAGATGTGGTACATATATGCAATGGAATATTAGTCATAAAAAAGAATGAAATAATGTCATTTGCAGCAAAGACCTAGAGATTGTTATACTGAGTGAAGTTAAGTCAGAGAAGGAGAAATATCGTATGATATCACTTGTATGCAGAATCTAAAAAGAAATGATACAAATGAACGTATTTACAAAACAGAAACAGACCCACAGACTTAGAGAATGAACTTATGGTTACTGGGGGAAAGTGGGGAGGGAAGGGATAGTTAGGGAGTTTGGGATTGACATGTACAGACTGCTATTTTTAAAATGGATAACCAACAAGGACCTACTGTTTAGCACAGGGAACTCTGCTCAATGTTATGTGGTAGCCTGGATGGCAGGGCAGGCTGGGCAAGAATGGATACATGTTTATGTATGGATGAGTCGCTTTGCTGTGCACCTGAAACTATCATAACATTCTTAATGAGCTATACTCCGATATTAAAAAGGTTAAAAAAAGACAGAATCTGACAATAAATTCTAAGAATATAAGGGAAGTTTCTCTCTAATTCAGTTAATCTGTGGCACTCCAGAAGTGTTGAGAATTAATTAGATGACATGTTATTACCCACCCTCGGGCTTGCAGGTCAATACTTCATTAAAATGAATAGATGTGGTAATGAACCTAAAGCAGTAGTGATGCTTGAACGGTCCCCAGAAAGTAAACTCATTTTCATTTAATGTTAGTGCTCCCCATGAGGTAAAGATAGTTTAGGAAATTAAATTGTGTCAATACTTTCCTAACAACACAATATTTGATAGTACCTAATTTCTTTTCACGTAAATCTGTTAGAAACTTTTGAAATCTTACCCTAAAATTAAGTTACCTATAAATGAATTTCCCACCATTGTAGAGATTGTATCTCCTCTCAGTTTCAAATGGTTCTTGTATCTATACAATCTAAGGAGAGTAGAGCTATTTTTTATGAGTACTCAATTTAATAAATTAGAATCATAGAATTTAGAGTTAGAAGATAACTTAAAGATTATTTAATCTAATCTCCCACTCAGCATCCTACCTTCTCTCCATTCCAGCTGGTCTCTGGATACTTACAAATATAAGAATTTTTGTGTCCTTCAGGGCAGGTTGTTTCCTTGCTGTATCATCTCTAATTGACGTTATCTATTTCCTTATTTCGAACATGTTACTGATCAGCCCTAGGTCTGTGTTTTAGAACACCACAAAAGTAGCATGTTTCCTCTTTCACCTGATACCCCTTCAAACATTTCAAGTTTCTTACTTATTCTCCTTTGGTTTTAGCTTTATAGGTCCTTCAATCCTCTGATCATTCCACTTGTGATTTATTCTATTTTTTCAAAACCCCTCTCAAAATAGAGTGCCTCAAAACTCAGTGTTGTTTTCCTGTTTCAGGTCAGGCCAAGCAGATGAGCTTCTGATTTGCCTTTATCTGTACCCCTACAGAATCTCTTAGAAAAATCTACTTTTTAAAAGCAACTTTGTCAGATTGCCCACATTGAGCTTATAACCCACGTAAACTCTTGAGTATTTTTAGTAGACATAACCGTGAAGCTGGGTGTCAAGAGAGAGTAGAACCTACTTCTGTGAAGTGTAATGTATGTTCAGCATCTGGTATCAAGTAAATGCTATTATTCCTCTCATTATTATTATCCCTCTTGGCATTGTCATCCAACAGTAATGCAGTTTTTCCCAATTGAATCTAAATACTAGATTTCACTATTAATTTCTTACATTTATGTAGTTCATTTGACCTATCTTGGCAATATGTTGAGATCTTGTGGAATTTTATTTCTAATTTAACATGTTTAGCTGTTTTTATTTGCATGAAGATATGGATCCTGAACAGGCCAAGTTTATGTGACATAATTATATGGCAAACCACTAAAAAACCCTGCTGCTTAATAAATTAATCTACACTATTAGGCCTGTTCATCAAGTCCTGAATCTTCCCAATTTTTTTTTTTGGCCATTCAGCCATACTTTTCCATCATTCCCATAAGGATATCACAAGAGCTTTATCAAATGCTACCGTAGAGTCAGCATACACAATGTCTAGCACATCCCAGTATATATTTCTACCTCTAGTTGAATTTAATTTCTCATCATAACCTGTCCTGATACTCAGCTACATTATGTTTTCTTGGATGCTTCCACTTAAGTTTTCACATTTCTTATTAAGTTAAATGAAATTCTCAGTTTTGGAAAACAAACATGCAAACAAAGCAAACCGAGTTTAACTTGCCCTGTGTTTATGTTAATAAGAGAACTGTTTCCTCTGATTTCAGTTTAAATATAAACAAGGCTACCGCAAGCAAGTCGGCCACCATATTGGATTCCGGAGTCTGCAAGATGATCCAAAGCTTGTGTTGTCCATGAATGTAGCCAAAATGCAGAGTGAAAGGGAATACAAGAAGGACTTTGAGAAATGGAAAACCAAGTTCAGCAGCCCAGTGGACATGTTGGGAGTGGTGCTGGCCAAAAAATGCCAGGCCTTGGTCAGTGACGTGGACTACAAGAACTACCTGCACCAGTGGACCTGCCTGCCTGACCAGAATGACGTTATTCAAGCTAAAAAGGTTTATGAACTACAGAGTGAGGTCAGTTTCTACTAAATCTCATAGTTTATGTAGTACTTTATATCTCATGTGAGTAGCCATTTAATCGTAGACAGACTGAAACTAGATAGATAAATTATTATTGAATATCTAAAATGCATCTGTTTGTAATGCATAGAATCACTTCAGTCGAGGGTCCAGATGAGGTTGGCGTTTTGATGGCTTGCTTTGTATTTTCACAGAATTTGTATAAGTCTGACCTTGAGTGGCTGAGAGGCATAGGATGGAGTCCCCTGGGTTCTTTGGAGGCAGAAAAGAACAAACGGGCTTCAAAAATCATCAGTCAGAAGAAATATCGCCAGCCTCCAGACAGAAACAAGTTCACCAGCATTCCTGATGCCATGGACATAGTTCTGGCAAAGACAAACGCCAAAAATAGGAGTGATGTGAGTAACTCTTCAGAAATAAATAAATTATAGTGCCTGATACCTGGTAGGTGCTCAATAGTATTTGCTTAATAAATTAGTAGAACAGCACAGCATCACATCATACAGCATAATGTTTTTTTATTTGATTACGTCATTTGAATTATCAGTTACCCTACACTGGATCATGTAAAAATGGGTTAGTATAAATTTTGTCACCCAAATCTTGCTTGCTTCTTTATTTATCCAAATCATAAAGAAAATCTATTGAACGTATTTTTTTCTTTGAAACTTGAGTGCATTAAAGACCCAGACTTTGTTGGGATAGAGTATATGAGAGGGAGATATTCTGAGTACCTTACACAGGCACAGTGGAAATGTCATAAAGAGTATATAGTTATCTATTTATCTGGTGGTTCCCAACCAGGGACAATTTTGTCCCACAGGGGACATTTGGCAGCACACAGAGACCTTGTCATAACTTGAGGGTGGCATGCTACTGGCATCTAGTGGATAGAAGTCAGGACAGTTCCCTCACAACAAAGAATCATCCAGTATACACCATCAATAGTGCTGAGGTTGAGAAACTGATCTTTCTTAATCAGAAAGGTTAGTCCAGAACCAGGATAAAGGTATATGGAAATTCACAAGCCTTGGTTTGTTGTAGTCCTGAATGTCTTAATTGGCTCCTCTGGGTTACATGGACCATAGTAAGCATGTTCAGGAAGGAGAAAAGTGCCAACCCCTCACACCCCACACTGCACACCTCAAAGGGAAATTGATAAGTCCAAGGAACCAATGAGACTTTAAAATCTTTTTATATTGAAATAATTTCAGGTATACAGAAAAGTTGAAAATAGTACAAATAATTTATGTATGTGCATCTTTATACATATATATATCTTTTCACCCAGATTCCACAATTATTAGCATTTTGTCACTTTTGCCTTTTTCTTTCTTCCCTCCCACCTCTTTCTCTTAGCTCTGGGTGTGTATGTGTGTGTGTGTGTGCGTGTGTATGTATGTATGTGTATGTGTATAAGTTGCTTCCTGATGCCACTCTATCCCTAAATGTGTATTTCCTGAAAATAAGAACATTCTCTTAGATAACCACAGTGCAATGATCAAAATCAGGAAAGTAGTGTTGAAATAACCCTAGTCTACAGACTTTACTCAATTTTACCACAAGTGTCCTTTATAGAAAGTAAAAACTCTTTTCTGATCCAGGATCCAATCCAAGACCACATGTTGAATTTACTTGTCATGTCTTTAGTCTCCTTTAATCTGAACTGGTTCCTCACTTCTTTGTCTTCCAAGTCCTTGACATTTGTGAAGAGCACAGGCCAGTTGTTTTGTAGAACCTCCCTAAATTTGGGTTTGTCTAGTGTTTCCTCATGATTAGATTCAGGTTTTGTATTTTTGGCAGGATAGCACATGTTGCATCCTCCTCCATATAGGCACATAATATCAATCTGTCCCATTACTGATCATTTTAACTTTGATTACTTGGGTGAAATGGTGTCGCCAGCTTTCTCCACTGTCTGGTTACTATTTTGTCCTTTGTAATTGATAAGTATCTTGTGGGAAGATTCTCTGACGATGTAAACAAACTTTTTCATCAGACTTTCACCCCCTAGTTTTAATAAATCAATGAGATTTTTGTTTGGGTCCCTCTGTCTTCTGTTGAAGAAAGACGGATGATGACCCCAGGACATACAAGAGACTTTGATAAATCTCATACAAAATCCTTTGGGGGAATCCTAATCCTCCCAAGTAATTATGAGGTATAACCATATAATAAACCACATAGGAAATGAGACTCCCTAATATATAGACATACCCTGAATATGTCATCTTTTCAGAAGATAAGGGCTGTCCCCCAGTTAAACACCAAGGGAGACTTTTACAATCCAACAGGTGGAGAACTGCTGCTCCATTTGATGATGTTGGCAAAGGCTTTAAATACTTGGGTTGATTTCTTACAGGCAGGTTAGTTGTAACTTTGAAAAGGTAATCCATTATCTATATTTTTGAAGGCAGTTATGTCTCAGATAAGTCAAAAAACACTATATTTATTTTCTGCTTATGTTATCTGCTTATGCTATTGTGATGCTTAATTTAGATGAATCAGTAATACTGTTTGAAGTTAACTATGTCACTCACTAATCTTTTAGCACCACTGAAAAACACATTTCTCATTTTAGAGACTTTATAGAGAAGCTTGGGACAAGGACAAGACTCAAATCCACATCATGCCTGATACACCTGGCATTATTCTGGCTAAAGCAAACTTAATCAATACAAGTGATGTAAGTTTCCAAATTCAGCATGTGTTTTCAGAAAGCTCATTTTATTTTTTAAAATATTTATTTATTTATTTTTATTTGGTTGCACTGGATCTTAGTTGCAGCAGGAGGGCTCCTTAGTTGTGGCATGTGAACTCTTAGTTGCAGCATGTATGTGGGATCTAGTTCCCCGACCAGGGATTGAACCTGGGCCCCCTGCATTAGGAGCGTGGAGTCCCAACCACTGCGCCACCAGGGAAGTCCCCAGAAAGCTCATTTTAATTGCGTCTAAGGCAGTGAATTTATTTGGAATTTATTTTGAATACTTGAATCATTTTAATTAACAAACTACAAGTGACTTAGTGTCCTCATTTAGTGGTTTTAAGCCTGAACATCCAAATAATTGGCACTCCCTATGTCAGATAGAGTTGGAAGGATGTGCTCTCTGTTCATTATAGTCCATTATTACGCATGTTGTTATAACATAATGGTTTGTATAGCTCTTCCCTATGTGGATAAGAACTTCTTGGGAGCAGAGACAATTCATATTTGATCTACAGTGCTTAGCTAGTATAGTGCCTGATATACATGAAATTCAATAAAATTTAAATGAGTGAGCATAAAAAACTCTTGCACACACACAAAAAAAATCATGCACCAAAAAAAAAAAAAAAAACTCATGCAGGATAATTTCATTTTTATTGTCATCATGGCATAATCTCCTGAAAATAATGGATGTAAAAATTAATATTTTAAAGACAAGTTCTAAATTCTAATACAAACACTTTAGCTTAAATAATGTACTAGAGTAATGACACAAAGGACTAAAATATAAAAACAAGTCCAAGATCAATAGGCACTTTAAACAATCTGGTTTCTAAATGAAGTGCATTAAAATAGATTCTCAATTATTTAATTATGTAACAAATTTGAAGAAGCACATTATTTCACTTAAGCTTTTTAATTCAATATTTAAACTTTCCTCAAAAAATCTTACATTTTAAAATCTTACATTTTAAAAATTATGAAGGACTTTGTTTCTTACCTACAAATGTGTATCCTACTTTTTGACAGCCCTATATTGTGAAATAGACTTTGTTTCACAATGTGTAAGCTACGTAGTCCGTTAGGTGTGATTTTCCCCCACTAGAGGTGTTAGATGGGAAAAGGCATTGCTCTTGGGCTTCCCTGGTGGTGCAGTGGTTGGGAATCCACCTGCTAATGCCGGGGACATGGTTCAAGCCCTGGTCCAGAAGGATCCCACATGCCACGGAGCAACTGAGCCCATGTGCCACAACTACCAAGCCTGCGCTCTAGAACCCGTGAGCCACAACTACTGAGCCCGCGTGCCACAGTGACTGAAGCCCACACACCTAGAGCCCATGTTCCGCAATAAGAGAAGCCACCACAATGAGAAGCCCACGCACTGCAATGAAGAGTAGCCCCCGCTCGCTGCAACTAGAGAAAGCCCGTGCGCAGCAACGATGACCCAACGCAGCCAAAAATAAATTAATTAAAATTTTTTTAAAAAGGCATTCCTCTTTTCTAACAAAAACTTCTAATGAAACATTCAAAGTTAATTGGAAAATAGCACCTAGATGATAATTTCATTTCATTTCTCTACCAATTTACTTCTGTCTATCTCATTCTCATAAATATTTGGGAAGAGCTGACATTTAATTTTATTGATCTAAGTAATTGAAGAGCTTTCAAGTTTAAAACAGGATCATCAGCAATCAATGAGCATAATTTCCAATTACATTTGAGTATTCTAGAGCACATATTGTACTATGCTCATGAGCTCCTAAAATATTAAGCACTTTGGACTCATTATGATGCAGATGTTTATGGAAAATAGCTTTTTTCAAGGTGATTTTCATCTCTTAACAGAAACTCTACCGAATGGGTTATGAGGAGCTGAAGAAAAAAGGTTACGATCTTCCCGTTGATGCCATACCACTCAAAGCAGCAAAAGCATCCCGAGAAATTGCCAGCGAAGTAATACTTTCTCCCTTGTTTGTATTGCATTGCAATGTTCACTTCAGAGCAGTCTCAATTTAATATTAAATTGAACACAGTCCTCCAAGTAACAAATTAAAACATAGTGAAATGATCCCAGGGACGCAGTGTGAGATGAGGATAAATTCAAGGATGCAATTATTTTGTATGGAATTTGTAGGATTTAGCCTTTAATCTTTCCTATCAAAAAAACCTTAAATCTGTGGCTCTCTACCCTTGGTGATATTTGGAATATATGTTCTCTGTAATTTGCCACAAAGATAGTAATATAAGTTAATCTTCAAAAGAATAAGGCATGATTTCTTTTTTTTTCCTTTAGTACAAGTACAAGGAAGCTTTTCGCAAGCAGCTTGGCCACCACATTGGAGCCCGGGACGTGAAAGATGACCCGAAGATGATGTGGTCCATGCATGTGGCCAAGATCCAGAGTGACCGGGAGTACAAGAAGGACTTTGAGAAGTGGAAGACCAAGTTCAGCAGCCCAGTGGACATGCTGGGGGTGGTGCAGGCCAAGAAGTGCCAGGCCTTGGTCAGTGATGCAGACTACAAGAACTACCTGCACCAGTGGACCTGCCTGCCTGACCAGAGTGATGTCACCCATGCTCGACGAGCCTATGACCTCCAGAGTGATGTGGGTATAAGATTTTCCTTTGGCCAACAAAACACCATGTCTGCTTACTTAAGTATCAAAGTTCCCCCAAAATGAGGGGAGTTGAGTTTATAAAACTGAATTCTACCTCCCTGGACTAATGCCCACTCTCTATCCAGTCACACAGACATCTGAGAGCATCATTATTTCCAAAAGGAAAGAACCAGCAAAGCACTGATTCCTTTTATGGAAACCTCTAGATTATTGATCTAGTAGAGTTGGGTCGTTCTCTATGTTCTGTTTAAAGTGTTTTTCAAAATAGGTTTCTAATGTGAATATTGGGTGGATTCACAAGACATAGCAAAATGTTTAAATTTCTCAAGAATCCAAACATTGAAATATATATATAATATAATGCAATGTATTATAATTCAAATTTTTATTTCTTTAAGGCATATCATTATGCTTATGTTTAGTGGTTTATCACTTACAATTTCAGAATTTGTACAAGGCCGACCTTCAGTGGCTCAAAGGCATTGGCTGGTTTCCTAGTGGCTCTCTTGAGGATGAGAGGAACAAGAGAGCTACCCAGATTTTGAGTGA